AAAAATGTAAAATCCATAAAGACAAGGACGTGTTGGACCAAAAACTTGGTATTCATCCAACACGATCTACAACCGTTTGATGACCCTAGGAGGTGTTTGACACATTTTTAGTCCGTCCTGCAGTTTGCTCTGTAAATTCGACAATTTTGTTCCAAAATTTGTCAATCAGTGGATGGTTTGAAACTTATTTTACACAGTCAAAGTTCACCCCTACACTTCCTGTTTGCTCATGTTTATCTTGAAGATGAACAGTTTGTCAGCCACACCACAATGACAGTATGTTTTTCCAGACTGACGTGACGTAGTGTTAGTTTGCCGTTTTCGTTTTTTGTGCACAAGAAATAAAAACTGAACATCACCTTAATTTAATCTCAGCACAAGCTTTTTCAGCCACGTCTCGTGGTCTTCATCCAAACTGCTTGTTGCACTGAAATGTTGTGTGCGAGTTTTCCTGCTCAGCCGACTTCCTCTTCACTTCCTGTCTGCAGAGCGCTCTGGACACGGCTGTCTCCATGAATGACCTGTCGATTCTCGTGGACATCCTCAACATCATCAACCTTCAACCGTGAGTCACACAACATGTGGTCACTTCATCGGTTACACTCAGAGTTTAATGAGGACAAGTTCAACTCCAGTGTCATTTATCTGGTCACGTTTGGTTTGAAATATAAAAACACATCGGCTTTGAATGGACAAAGTTAATCTCCAAGTTTTTCTGATCTAAAGTCTTCTGTTTGCCATTCACTTACATTTCTTCACATCTTGTGCTGCTATTTTTATTTTCCCGTTTCATCTTGTATTCTGTTCATTTTAGCTCCTTGTTTTTTTTAAAGTTTAAATTGTATTTGTCATACTGGCATGTTGCTTGTCTAACTTCACGTGTTTGCCTTGTCGTTGTCGAACTGCTTCTCACTGAGCATCAGCATTCATCAGGGAAGCTCACACCAGACATGTCTGACTGAACACGAAGCAGTTGGCTGTGGCCTCACATCTTAGACGAAGACTCCAACATCAACGCTTCTTACTTTTAACCTTGAGTTGTGTTTCAGGTCGCTATGGAAACTAGACCTCTGTATGACGATCCTTCCTCAGATCGACAAGCTGCTGCAGAGTAAATACGAGAGGTGAGACCTGACGTGCACAGCTAGTTGTCAGTTTATCTGCAGATTCACGTCTGCATTAGTCTGGTGTGTAAAGTGTCAAGCACAGAGGTGGTGCGCTCAGTTTAAAACTTAAATATACCAGTTTCACAGAACCTGCTAGGTTAAGTTCAAGTACTGTAGGAAACTGTAACACTGTTTGTGCCTCAGCCCAGCTGCAATAGGCCTCAGCTGTGGCAATGAGATGCAGATTTATTTTTAATTTACCATAATTTTAATGTCAAAGGTTAAGTGATGAGGAATTGGAAATGAATCCTCTAAGTACACTTTGAATTGGTGATGAAAATGTTTGTAGAATGTGAACATAAAGCAGAAAACCAGAAGCTGTGGAAGTTTGTGTGAAGACGAGATTAGTTCTAGTTTGTGAGAACGTTCACAGTGCTTGTTTTGTCAGCTACATGCAGACGGGCTCCACGTCTCTGAGGCTCATCATGAAACACTTCTGGGTGCTGATCTCAGACACGCTGAAGGCCACGCCGTCTGTCGGAGTCGACATCACACGAGAGGAGCGGTGAGTCCTTTACTTTCACTACCGGCTCAGCTCCAGTACGAGTTGCTTCCTGACGTAGTTGAAGGGTTAAATGTGCTCACTACTCATCCTGTTCCTGCGGTATCCAGTGGAGGAAATGTCTTCAGTCTGAGTGGAAGTGACTTCAAGTTGTTTACATCAGCTTGAACCTTGGAAAGTGTCGGGCTCCTCTGACCTGCTGCTGCTTGTGTTCCTGCAGACATCAGAAGTGCAGAGCATGCTATAAGCAGCTGAAGACCCTGAGCAACCTGGTGAAGAACAAGGCGGCGCAGGTCGGCCGACATGGCAGCACCTTCAAGGAGCTGCAGCTGCTCATGGCGCCGCTCGACGATTTGCTCTGAGAGGAAGGCAGTGATCCATCACTCCAGGGAGCAGAGAGAGCGCACTCTATGTCGGTGCGCTACTGCCACCAACCCTCCTGAGGCCTTGACCTGAGTTACATGGCTCTCTGCATGTGTGCTCTTCACAAGGCAGAGTAAACAGGGAGCATTACCAAGACCAAGTGTGGATTGTGGATCTGTCAAACAGAGAGGTACCAGTAGGCTTGTTTCAGAAGAAAGGTTGGGGCCCAGTCACAAGCAGTAGGGTCTTCTTGTGCAACACTAGACCAAATAAACAAGATCCACATTGAAACTGATCAGTTGACAAATTGTAAAATGTTATGCGACACTAAGCCTGTTATGATCATCTCAAAGGAGAAGTTTGACATTTTGGGAAATTTGCTTATTCGCTTTCTTGGAGAGAAGACTGGTACCACACTCACACCTGTCTTCAGTTTGAACCACCAGTCAGGATGTGCTTAGCTTAGCCTAGAGACTGGCACCAGGTAAACCACTAGCCTGACACAAAGGTAATGTTGTGCTAAGCTAACTGGCTGTAGCTCCATACTTGGTGCACAGATATGACATTGGTATCAACACCCGAGCCGGTGCTGCTGTTGCTGGAGGGCGGAGACAAACAGACCTGGTGAGACAGGGCGGCCGTGTGGCTGCTGGTGTCCCCTGACTGATGAAATGGTTCATATTGAACAAATGCTCCAGTCTGAAAACTGCCGAGTTCAGAGGAGCCCCGAGGAGATGAGAACTACAGTTAGTTCAGCTCTGGGGCCTCCTTTGTAGACACCAACGTTTCTGATCAAGTGCAAATATTCTTTTTCTACTTTCTCTACTTCTCAGACATTTAGATCCACTGTTTTCAATGTACAGTTACAGATTATATTTAAATAAAGTTCTACATGATTCAAGTGGTCTTTTTTTCTTTGTAATCTGGCAGGTGGCAGGAGAGAGTTTCATTCGGCAACTGGTCACGTGATCAGGCTCAGTGTCAGGAGAAACGGACAGAGGATGACACTCTAATTTGGTCTCCTTTTACTCTTTGCTCTTTAAATGCACATTTTTCTTGTTTGCTTACAGAAGCGCACTGATTCTGATCATGTGACCCATAGTTTGTACGGACAGTGCAATAGGAAGTATTCTGGTCCTTTACTCGAGTAAAAGTACCAATACCACACTGTAAAATAGGCTGAGTCCTGCACTCGAAATGTTAAGTATCACAAGTAAAAGTACTCGGTGCAGGAAATGGTTCCTGTACGGTTACATTAAGATGAAGTATTTATTATCCTTTTGATGTATTAATGTGTACACAACATTTTGCTACTGCAGTCGGTCAGTGTGGGACTGCAACTATTGATTTTCTTTTACTGATGAAGTAAATGATCGATTTGTGACTGAGGCCACGTTTGTTTTGTCCAGGCCTCGACTCTGTTGCAGTCGTTCACACAGAGAAGCTGGAACCACGAAAGGTTTGGTAGGTTTAATGAAAAATTACTCAGCCATTAGACAGTTTTAAATATATACTGCTCAAAAAAATAAAGAGAACACAACATAAGGCATCCTAGATCTGAATGAAAGAAATATTCTTATTAAATACCTTGTTCATTAGTTGAATGTCTTATTTTACCAATTATCTTGTGGCCAGTTTTGGTATAATTCTTTTGAAAGTTCCTATGTTCTGTATGTGAAAACCCCTTATTTGTAAAATAACTACAGCTGTCAAGGTTAAATATATCATAAATATATAAGTACAAGTACCTCAAATGTATACTTGCGTACAGTACTTGAGTAAATACATTTCAGCAATGTGTACAAGTAAATGTAATCATTAATTTTGAGGCACTAGTACCTAACGAGTATTTCTCCTCTACTACAGTCAAGAAGAAAGCACTATATTTTACTGCACTACAGTTCCTGGTTTCTCTGCAGGGTTTTACTTACAAAACACGAAACCTGACTGTTGAAATGAACTGGCCTGCATTGACGTGGTTAGCTCTCCTGTTGTAACCTAGTGAATCTTAATAATAATCTTTTTAAATTCATTTACTTTTACCTGAAAGCCCTTTTCAAAATTTTACAGCCACCTCCACTGTTTCCATCAGGCTCCATCTTTAATATTCTTCTCCTGTCTTAATCCAATCTGATTTTGTTTTGTGGTTTTTAAAGAAAAGCATTTAGTTACCACTTTGCACACTAAAATGCTTCTGTACTTTGACTTGTGGCAGATGGAGAATACAGGTCAGTATTTTTACTGTGTGGTATTGCTAGTTTTATTTAGGTAAAGGCACTAAGATTAGCATTTACTTACATTTCTCTGCTCGGCTGGATGACCTCTGACCTTTAACCTGTGCTCAGACAAAACCAGTGATAGAAACGACATTTCACTTTATGTTTTGCAGCTGTATTTCCTTCATGAATCTGTTCTGGATGGAAGTCATGTGCAGACACAAGCCCTACTTTCTTTGTAAGAAGAACAAAATGCAGAGCGCAGATTTAAGAACAGTTTGAGAGTGATCAATCATGTTGAAGAGCTGGAATCACAACACGCTTAGCCTAGCTTGAAGACAGAAAACAAGAGCTCTGTCCAAAGTTCAATAATCAGCATGTGTCTTTGTTTAAAGGCCTGAAAAGAAATAGTCCTGTTTCAAAGATCAAACTGGGTGTGGAAGCATCACAGTGCAATGACCAATCAGAAGTTAGGTTCTGGTCTATGGCCCACAACTTGTACATCGAGGAAAAGTTAAATGGCAAAACTGAGCAACCAATTATCAGGTTTATTTATTTATTTTATTGTGTTGTCGGTGTGAAAAGGTTAGACATCCTTTGATTTACTTGTAAAAACTGAGCAGAGTCGTTGTTGCAAGCAGGCTAAGGGCGTCCTCACACCACACCTGTAACACAGACATGAACGTATTCAAACAGCTCACTCACCCACGAAGCATATTTACCACAACTAGGATCCATTCCTTCATCTGTTTCACTGTGTCAACATGAACTGAAGCATGTGTGTCCTTTTTGAATTATTTATTAAAAATGGCGATACAAAAACCAAACTGCTTCATCTCCTCCCTCGATGTCTACAGACAGGTCACTCATTGGGTCAACAACACAGCAGCTCATCGCATTGGTAAGCATTCCTACTAAAACTACTACTAACGGTTTACTTCCTGTTGTCACTTCAAGCTCAGCACCGGGTCAGCTACAGGGTCAGCTACTGATCTGTCTGAGGTCAAAGGTCACCCGTGGCTTCCTACATTTGTTTTGTTTTTTAAGAGGTGAGGAGACGACAGCAAGATCACAGAGGGAAAACAGCTGAGGAAAGATTGGAGCGTCTTTCTCTTCAGCTTCACTGAAGGAAGACGGAAAAACAACATCCACAGGAACAAAAATAAAAACAATCATGGATGCGGGTGAAGGGATCCTCATACTGCTCACATCCTGTTGGACAGGACCCTGACTGGATCAGGAACTTTAGGCAAAACTCTGCCTTGGTTTGAAGACCTCAGAAAAGGATTCATGATAAAATGAAAATCCAAATTGTCTGAGACAAAAAAAGAGATTAAACAATTTTTAGGATTACACATGGCCCGCATTCTCTAAGAGAAAAAAAATCCAAATAAAAAATAACTTGATTAAAGTATGTTGAACATAAATATATAACCATATGATGCATATATTATAACTCAGCCACATCTGGAGTTGTGGGTGAGAAGATACTCTACAAGTTTAAAGTGCAACTGTACAAAAACAGAATAAAAGAAATACTGTGATTGGAAAGCATATACTGATTTTTGGGTGGGTGAAACAACAGTGAGGATTCTGTTCAGTCCAGACGAGACCAGAGGAGCACGAGCCGCTCTGGGGATGTCAGATTTCTCATGACAGTCTCTGGAGTCCTTTCAGGTTACCTCAGCTAAAAACACATGAAGACAAACATTTGGCCACATCCTCTGCTGACTGACAGAGGAAAGAGTCTGGAAAGTTCTCATCAGTCTTTGCTCCTTAATCCCCAGTCTTGTCACCAGTTGAGGAAAAGAACAAGGATGGAGACAATGTCCCAGCACCCTACAGACAGGCCGGGTCCGTCAGGCCATCAGCTTCAGTCGTCCTGCAGGAAAAACCAGACCATCAGTTGGCAGCCCTGTGACGTCCGACCATGTCTACACTGCTGCCAAGAAATGTGAAAACGGTTCACACAAGCAGTGTCACCACTGTGATGAAACGTGGTTCAGACACTGGTGTTCATCTCAGGATGAACTGTAATCCTGTGATCCTGACTTTCCTGTAGCGCCTTCATCGCATCAACCCATTCATGTGTCCAATACAAATATCTGCAGAACTACTGACATTCCCATCAGCCTCTGCTGTACTTGAGTTTGGTGTTACTTTGCATGTTAGCAAATGTTAACACGGTAATACGCTACACTGAAATATGGGATTTAACTAGGCATAATACATGAATAACTGGATGTACACAAAGACTTTCTACTACCACCTTTGTATTTTGAGGTAAAAACACTGCACTGGTGTAGAATGGTCGTTGGTGAACTGGTCTGGAGGAGTCACGTTAAACTATTTTAACATAAACAGTGTTTTCAGATTTAGCAGTGTAGACATGGAGTAAGCAATCCCACAGTCCTCGGCTCAGCGGCAGGACATCCAGCCGGAACACAGGGCACATCCAGACACCAACTCACTCACAACACCCACACCCTGAAGCCACAAGGAACACATTCAGGATTTAAAGAAATTAAACATAAATAAGTAGTGCAGAAATGGGTCTAGGACATGTTTAGCCTAGCTTAGCACAAAGACTAGAAGCAGGAGGAAACTGTTAGCCTAGCGTCATCAAAAGAGAAGAGTGTTTATTCCAACATGGCTTCTCCTGGTGCCACGCCAGTTTGTTGATTACATTTCAGATACAAACAGGTTGTGCTGGGTGACACGTTTCTTCAGCAAACACGTCCAGAGGTTAAGAACGGACACCACTCTATACAATGTCCACTGTAAGAAGAGCCACTGATCTCTGCTCTGTTCATCTCTGGATAGGATTGGAGCACACCACCACCACCAGAGAAAATCAGTGGCCTTATCCTTTACAAAACTCTAAATTATGTCATTTTAACATCCAGACACTGCCACCATTTACACTTCTCAGATATCCTAAATTCAGATCCCAAACAAGAACAGTTAAAAGTTTTATGACCTGCAACATGTAAATCAGACTTGAGTTGCTGACGGTGAAGACCAGTTTCCTCCTGTCCCCTGTAAAATCTTAGTGGTTGTCACTGGAGGCAGATAGATGTCAGTGTGATCTCTGTCCTGAACAAACTGCAGCACTGGCCCTTTAAAATATGACAGAACTGAAATGAATGTGCCATTTCCTTGTGACTTGATCCATTTTCTGCACAGAAGCGAGACTCGAGCGACACAGACAGCACATGGGGCCTTGTGGGCTCTGTGGGCCCTGCTCACGGCTCTGCAGGCACACAGACAGAAGCTGGTGGAGCTCTGCGGTTTGAGGTGGGGAGTGTTAGATTGATGGAGGGGGGAGGGCACCATGCCATGCTGAGTGCACCCATGCCGAGCAAGCACCCCCACCTACCTGCCCACCGTCCCCCACCAATGGGCTGGCTCTGTCTACCTGTCTGTCTGCAAACCAACCAACCAGACCACAGAGTGAGGACACAGAAGAGGAAGAGGAGCAGACTGATAGCAGGTGATGCTGGGAAACTCCTCCTTCACTCTTACAGTTCAGACCTGTGACGTTCAGGAGTCATCTATTATTATTTACCTTCCACTGTAGCCCCTTCACCTCATCTGCTGTCCTTTCTTTTACTGCATCACTACATTTCCCATAATGCATTTTGTCATTTTAGACATGCACTCTGGAATTTGTGCCACACTCAGTTAAATAATCAATTTACCTGACAAATGATTCAACAGAGCTGCAGTGACTCTGACAGATGATTCACTGGCAATAAGCAATTAATCGTTTGTCATTTGTTAAGTCAAAATCTCAAAACATGGCCTGATTCCAGCTTGTTACATGTTAAATGTGAGGATTTAATGCTTCTAAACCACATGAAATGGTTTTGGTACAAACACATCAGGTTATTAAGTCGCATGTTTCTGAGAAGAAATGCGTTCAGTTTATTGGAGTGTAGTTCGTGGTGGGACACCTGCCATTAAAGAGAGGAAATCCAAACTTCATTAGCTGATAAACAGGAAACTCTTTTCAATCTCATCATTTTCTAATACAAGTCGCTGGTTTGAGTAGATCTAAAGCGTCGCTCCAGGAACTCAGGAAGTCCAATCAAATCATCTGGTAAGATCTTTGAAAGTTTTTTTTGCAGTAATTTTCATTCATTACAAAAATATTCAGCAGCACCTCAGTATGTAGTAGTAGTAGTAGTAATACTTGTTTGTGTACACACACCTGTGGCGAGTTGGGACTGGGACCTCCTGCGGGAGCCGGTGGGAGCTCTGGAGGTGGAGGAGAGGGTGGAGCCGGCGCTGCTGGCCCGAGAGATGGGGAGAGGGACTGGGGTGACTGGGGGAGAGTCCAGCTGAGGAGAGGTCAAAGGACAAACTGGGTCAGACACATTTTAACACTTTGTTCTGGAACTTAGTACTTCGGTTTCACTTTAGTTTAGTCTGTTTTATTATGATATTAGTTGTTTTGTTGGCATTTATTCTTCTTTACAAGTCTGTTACTAGTTCTATCACTATTTCACATTCTTTTTATTGTACTATTAATGGTTCTAGTATTTGTGAAGCACTCAGGTTGAAACGCACCCGAGTTTCAACAATGGTTTCTGAGAAATCCATTCAGTCATCAACAGAATCAGTACAAGAACAAAATGTGACAAACAAACCAGACTCCAACTTGTGTGTTACCTCAACGCTGTCGTGGGTGGGCGAGGACGAGGTGGACGAGTTCTCATGTCTCCTGGAGGACGAGGAGCTCAGCTCGACGCAGCGAACGCGCTGTGCGAACTTGAGCGAGCAGACCGACTCGCTCATGTTAGCGGCCAGTGGAGACACCTGAACACAAGATGCCCAGAGTCACACTCTTCAACATGCTGTTTACACCGACACAACGAGGGTTTTCACACTGCATCAGGTTCACTACAACACAAAACCTTTCCTTCCTGACGGCTGCCGGTTCCAGTTTAGTTCTACGGGCACCAGCCTGCAGATGCTTCAGACTGAACGTGGTGATATTCCATCACTTGTAGGAGCTAAATGGCTGATCCAGTATCAATAAACTTTAGGATCTTTGTCTTCATTGATTAAAGATACAGTTGAAGTCAGAAGTTTACATGCACCTTAGCCAAATACATTAAAACTCAGTTTTTCACAGCTGCTGACATTTAGTCCTATAAACATTCCCTGTCTCACGTCAGTGTCTGAAATGTCAGAATAATAGTAAAGAAAAAGATTCAGTTCAGTTTGTATTTCTGTCATCTCATTCCCAGTCAGTCAGACAAGCTTCTTACAATAGGTTGCTGGAGTTTAACCTCTAATAATTGACTCAGATGTCGGACATGACCATTTAGACAGGCTTTGGTTGAATCAACCAAAGACAGAGAGAGGAAAGAAAGGTTTCTATCCCTGATGTGTCAGATGTTTAGGCTGCCAGGACTGAAACATCTCTACAGCAGCTTTTGTCAGAAGTGCTGCTGAGCCTAAACCAGGATGACCCATGCAGACAAGTGATTTTACAGGAGGCTGTGAAGTATGATGCGTCACCTGGAGCATAGAGCTGTGACGATACACGATATTGGGTTCATGAGACGAGATGATATTTTAACACTATTTTTAAGAAATCTTCAGCGATGAAATATATGACTGGAAAACTAGTCTTTTATTCGAGTCACAAAATGCAAAACAGTGCAAGTGCATTTTGAAATGTAACTAATCATCTAATGAACGTCCCGTCAGTTCTACTTCCTGAGTGTGAATTACCACCTGCAGTAAAAGACAATGTGCAGAACTGTAAAGGTTCGGCCACAGACTCGGCCGACCGGCTTCTCTCCTGTAGGATTTCATGAGTCTCTTCAGACCTTAGGAATGTGCATGAGCTTCTAACTTAAGCTGTGTCTGACAACCTATGGTGTTTTCAGCCTCACTGCACTGGACAGTGACATCATCCCACAAAGGAGCTGCGTTGACCTGGTGGAGGCAGTTTGTCTTCTGCCAGTCCATTACCAGCGTGAAATGAAACCAGCAGGGAAAGAAACTGGAAGCGCAGGACCAAACCTGTGTGTCCCTGTGCCCCTGCTCCCCTCTCACCTGCACCATCATCAGGGTCTTGCTGTCTCCGCTCAGAGAGTCCTGCAGCAGGTAGGTGAGGCGCGAGTTCCGGAACGGGACATGGGAGTGTTTGCTCCGCAGAGCGTTGATGACGTCTCCGAGCGCTGACAGAGATTTGTTGATGCACTGAGCCTCTCGCAGACGGCAGCCCTCCGCCCCCGATTTACCGATCCGCTCCGAGCCCGCCAGGTCCACCAGGTTCAGCTTACCTGAACCAGAACACAGCGAAGACAGGCCCAGGGTCAGAACAATAGTGATCCTCCACCTGCTCCATCTCAGAGAGTTCCTTTCCTACTCTGATTGAATCCAACTCCAGAGAAGGAGCTTGGTGTTTTAGGTCCAATTAGACATTTAAACCACAAAGACAAGTTTTTGGTGGAGCTTGATGTTGTCATTTGAGTCACACTCATTGTTGAAAACTTGCTTTTTGGCATTTTCCTGGTGATTTGATGAACAGATTGCAACTCGGTACTAATTAAGAATGAAAATGAGTTGATGTTCTCACACGACTTCTGGAGTCAACTGTACTGTGTTAAGTTATTTTCCATACAATACATGCCCCATTACATCATCCTTTTGCAGTTACATATCAGCTCCTTTCTAGGAAATGACAGGACAAGATGGCACTAAATAAATACTGTATAGAAAAGTGTTACGAGTAACTAGTAAACTCTGAGCAGGCTTTAGAGGAAACCGGAATTCATATCAAGTTGTCATTGAACCAGACTGGGTTCACCAAAGTGATTCCAGTTCAGGGTTTTAGTCCAAATGGGACTGAATCAGTTTCTGCAAAGCACAAGGACAGATACGCAGAGACAGCTGTAACCATGGTAACTGTACACAAAGATGGAGGCAGCTGGAGCCTTGAAAGCCTCAGAAAATAAAAATCTAATGACTTCAAATTTACTAAAACTAATAAACTGTGTGTGTGTGTGTGTGTGTGTACCTTGTGTGCGGTTTCCAGTAGTGGAGTTGAATCCCGACACGGTGATGATAAGCAGAGCGTGAGATCGAGAACTGTGTTCGTTCAGGTTGGTGCAGGCTGTTGCTCTGTTGATGTGACCCAACTCCAACACCTGGAAGACACACAGACACACAAAGCTGTTCATCACTAAACCCAGAGCCCCTTCTGCTTGAGCTCACTGTATTTCACCCTGCTTCACATCTTTTATGTTTTGACAGATTTGATCGATTTCACTTTGCTCCACTAAAATAAAAGAAAAGTGTAGTTTCAATTACAGCCTATTTTTTGAGGTTCTCACTGAGACTGGATGTCTGTCAGGGAGCTGGGGTCACCTGCAGATTATTATTATTTTTTTTTATGACAAAGTCTCAGACCAGCAGCAGACTGAGGCACTTTACACTGAAAGAACAGTAGCAAGTCCTCACCCTGTTGATGTCCTCGGGGCTCTGCACGATGACCTCCTTCAGTCCAGGGACATAGAGCTGTCCGCTGCCATCAGGATTCAGCTTGATGTCGAGTTTGTCGGTGGGATTTTCCCCCAGCAAGTCCCTGAAGGACAAGAGAGGTTTATTACCTGCAGACTGGACTTGGGGCTCAGACAACACATCACACGGGTTTTTTGTCGAGACAAGGCGAGCGATGCTCGGTCAGTAGCGACTGCCTCACACTGCAGCCGGTGAGTTTCCTGCCAAGGCTGCAGAAGGCACTAGAACACGTGCAGTTCTGTGAGAAATGGAAGCTCAACTGAAGTCTGTTTTTGGTGTACAGAGCTCATGTTAGCAAAAATAAAAAGGAGCAAGACTCAGTGCATGTGTCAGGTCTCTGAAAGAGTGGAAATAAAACAAGGCCAGAGGTAACAGAGAAGACACACTGACAAAATATTAGAAGGAATAAAACATTAAATATAAAAGTGTGCTAACAAGTGAATACACAACAATTCTGTACATTTTTGTCTGTTTTTGTGGTTTTGGTTTGATTCTGTTTTTATACTGCTGTGCACAAATTCCTTGTATTTTTGATAATACTTGGCAATAAAGTTTATGCTCTGCTCTGCTAATGGAAGTAAAAGATGATAACCTGCAGGCTACAGAGATCCGTTTTAAGTTTACATTTAAAAGTAGTGAAAATGGCCGTTCTTAGCCCCAGAGACTGCCAGATGAGTAAGACAGAGCCACTGGTCTCTGCTCTGGTTGCACTGCTCCACCAGCTCCTCGCTGCATAGAACGTGTTGGAGCTGGTTGTTGGAAACAGACGGCCTCCTGTGTTTCCTGAAGAGGAAACCTGCCCCCCAGTGCAGCGGTGTGGCTCACTGGGGGATGGGGTTTAATAGCTGGTGGACAGCAGTGGAGGTCTACGACACAAAATCACTGACTGCGTCCTGTCAGAAGATAAATGTTGTGCTGCTGTGATGTGATTTTGCCAAGGGCGAGTAACACCTCAGAGAGCACGGCGAGGTTATCAGGCCCAAGAACACAGCACACAGACAGGACAGTTCAGCTGTTGTTCCTTTTCTCACCGCAGCATCTCATTGTATATCTCCACCATGCTGACTGTGATCTTGTAGTCCCAGTCTTTCTCCGTCACCTCAGAGAACAGCAGGCGAAGAGCTCGCTGGTTGATGCCGGGGTCGTCGACCTCGCCCTGGAAGCCAACACACAGGTGTGCTTCATTATTACTCAGAGAAGACAAAGAAGCACAACAAGACAAAAAGCATGAACGCGCTCGCATCACCTCCATGGTATAGGTTTTCCCAGAGCCCGTCTGTCCATAGGCGAAGATGCAGACGTTAAAGCCATCAATACAGGAAGTGACCAGAGACCGGACCTCCTGAAACACCTGATGGGTCAGCGAGAGAGAAGACAGACAGCTGAGGCTGATGTGTCCCAGAGGGCATCTGGTCTGGACTCTGTGCACCTGCTCACTGCTACATGTGTGACTGTCCCTCTGGCGTGCATCAGTCACAGGAGTGACCTGAGCACAGTGCACGTAACCCGGTCATGTTACATTTGCTGCCTGACCTGACCTCACCTGACCTGCTGCTCAGGTCTCTGATAGTACAGCAGCAAAACACACTGATATCTGGCCCATGGAAAACCTAACAAACAGGCAAACTGACATTTTTGGTTTAATTTCTCAGTTATTATTTAATTTGCTTCTTCCTCTGTCACCTGTAATGGGAGTGGGCATATGTAAATATGCAGGTGTAGTATCTGTACAGGCATATTGTACTACTAGTATGTGGAAATATCCAGTTATTAGTAGTGAATCGATGTTTGGTTCTTGTGGCCACTGTCTCAGGTGTAAGTGTATGTTCGAATGTTTACACTTCCCTCCCACTGTGACAATTCACTCACCTCTTCCTGCGACGCCTGAGGAGGGAAGACTTTGTCCAGTTCAAAGGTCATGATTTTGCCCCTATTGGAGAGGTAGAGGATGGCGTCGTCATCCGAGTCAAAGCTCAGCATGGTCTTGGCGTCGGCTGAGTCTTGCTCCTCCTGACTGACCGGCCGCACACGGCAGAAAACACGGATGTTACCTGGGACAGAGCAGAGACATGGGGGGGTGATGGAGTCCCACAGCTTCTTCACTGGTCACTAGAAACACTGGTTTTCTCCCAGTTTACTTGGAGCTTTCTCAGTGTCCACACAGCACTTTTAATTTTCAGAACAGGACTGTCCTGTTCTCTCTGTTCTTAGGCTGATTCTAGTTGTTCTACTTCCAGTGTTTTTCCAGCATAGCTGTACGTCAGGTGGTATGGGGGAGACTCTGTAGCGCTTTATGTTGGACAATAAAAAGTCTAAGGCTCCAAAGTGCACTAATGTTCCTCTCGTTCTCTGCATCCTGCTGATCCACTGAGATCAGACGTTCATACCCAACTGATCATTTCTGTAACTGTTGATATTACCATGAATCTGTGTGTTTTCAGACCTTTGAGTCGAACCAGCTCGTTGTGACACTGCTTCCTCAGGTTCATCTCCCTCTTGTATTTGCGCAGCAGCTCCTGGTTGGTGTTGCTCACGTCACTGATCACCCGACAGATCTGAAACATGCAGGTTCATGTTGAGCCTCTCATTCTATATCAACCTCAACATGACTGAAAAAGGCCTCAATGAGACACAGTCCTCCATTTGAAATGTCGTTACACCTTTCCTAATGCAACCAAAGGATGACAGTTAGATGCACCTGCAAACATGTTGACAGTGGTTCAAGTAATTGTTTTAGGCAAAACCAAAATGTCAACGTCTGCTTCCAGGTTCTTCAACCTGAAGAGTTTCTGTTTTTCTCAGTTTCCTATCAAACTGAATCTGACTTTTCAGCTGCTGGTTGGAAAAAACAAGATATGTAAAGACGTCCAGCTCAAAGTGAGATGGGCACTGCTCACTGAAAAACAAAGCAACAAAGAAATCCAGAAAATACTCAGACCAAGTGATAACGACAGACCTTATCCCTGTGCTTGGTTGCACAACATGCTCAGCTGCTTGAGTTCACACAAGATCTTCTCCAAACATTTATTCTATTCAAATTTTTTCCAGGAGAAACAGATCAATGAAACCTTTCATGACAACAGAAACTCTCAGTGGAGAAAGTCAAATAATACTGGTTGTTTTTGCTTGATAAATAAATTGATGATTAGTCCAATGTCAAAATCTATGTAGATTTTTTTTCCCCAACTAATTCCACTTGTTTTTACAGACAGCTGAGAAGCCACAGAGCGTCTGCACGTGCTCGCTCACCTCCTGCTTCGCCTCTGCGATAGCTTTGTCCAGCATGAAGGGAAAGTCCTGCACCTGCCTCTTCAGACACTTGTAGTCACAGGTGAGAGTCCTGAGCGCCCGCTGCAGGTTGACCAGGTTCACGCGCACTCCTGAAACAGCAACACAAATCCACGACTGGACATCAGTAAAGAGAGAAGACGTCTCACTCTGTTGGAACTACAGAAACACTCGGTCCACTCTGGCTGTTCAGCAGTGTAACAGAGTGCAGCGTCTCCCCTCACATAAGATCTTTGGCTGAGTACAGACACTGGCTGCAGAGAAGCTTTAACCCGAAAACAGACAAGCTTCTGAGAAGCCACAGAGCGTCTGCAGGTGCTCGCTCACCTCCTGCTTCGCCTCTGCGATAGCTTTGTCCAGCATGAAGGGAAAGTCCTGCACCTGCCTCTTCAGACACTTGTAGTCACAGGTGAGAGTCCTGAGCGCCCGCTGCAGGTTGACCAGGTTCACGCGCACTCCTGAAACAGCAACACAAATCCACGACTGGACATCAGTAAAGAGAGAAGACGTCTCACTCTGTTGGAACTACAGAAACACTCGGTCCACTCTGGCTGTTCAGCAGTGTAACAGAGTGCAGCGTCTCCCCTCACATAAGATCTTTGGCTGAGTACAGACACTGGCTGCAGAGAAGCTTTAACCCGAAAACAGACAAGCTTCATTTTGGCCTGAAGTCTGAACAGGCCTAGACAATGATGGACAGGATTTTGGCTGGCTTTATTTTTTCATATAAATTTAAAATCTACCTGCTGCGGCCCACACAGAGTTGAATCCAAACACACACTGACCTGCCAGGTTCTCGTGGACGACTTTCATCTCGCTCTCGGCTCTGATGAACGTCTCCTCGATCACTCGGTTCTTCTCCTCCTCCAGGTTCTGCATCTCCACCTCCAGCTGACCCTGAGCACGCTGCATCTCTCCTTCATACACATGGATCTGAGACACAAACAAACCCACTCAGAGAGGATGGGTGGTGGCGGCGGGCGGGACATTCAGGAGTGACCTACAGAACTGAGCAAACACTTTGATACAGCAGCGGGACACAAAGATGTTAAAGAGGGCGACAGGAAGAGACAGGAGCGACTACAGCAGGTGGGCTGAGCAGAACCAAAGTCAGACTGGTCTGAGTGGTGGATCCCAAACTGGGTCCTAATATTAAATATCAAGGAGAGGCAGAGGCTGATCCTTCAGAGTGTCACCACAGTGGCAGCTGAACATGGACAAAGACTCGGGTACACGCACACCTGTGCAGGTATTCACTCTGTATGAAACCTTCAACCTTCAATGTGTCAAAGTACTCAGATCCTATACTGAAGTAAAAGTAGAAATACCTCAGTGTAAAAACACTGTTACAGGTAACAGTCCTGCACATTTTTACTTAAGTACAGTATCAGCATCCAAAGTACCAGTACTCGTCCTGCAGAACGGCCCGTGCCCCAGTCATGTCTCTGATACTACATACACAGCTTCTAACTGTGGCCTTCCCTGGGTTATTCTGTCATAAGAGTTTCAGCCTGTGACACAGAGAGAAGATCAGTGGTGACAAAAGTGCGCACGTCTGGGACGCCTCCGGTTATCACCGTGCGCTCAAAGCAACGGGTTTAACTAGTGTGACTGGCCAGGATGACTTCAATTCCTGGGTTGTGCCTCTCAGGTTACATGCAGGCTGCCCCGTCTTATGCAGCCAGGAAGGAAAAGTCAGGGCTGAAAAACAGGCTGCAAATCAGGTTTTTCTGGATCTAACTGAATCTGTAGTTGAATGTAGAGCTAGTGTTCCTCTAAAACAGAGACCTGAACATCATCAAAAAACTAACGTGGCTAATTACCAATACATCTCTCTGTAGTTAAGATGCAAACAATTACTCATTGTAATTATCATCATCATCAAAGTATCAAGTGTTTCTACAGGAAACGAGATGTTCCGAGGCTAAACAACAACTCTTTTCTTGTTATATTGCCATCATTATGGGAAACAAGTGCCAATTATAGCATTTGATATTTGCTAAATGAATTTAAATGCATGTTCCCTTTAATTTGTTTCAGCCTCACTTCTGATACCAAAGCGTGCATCAACAAGTCCTGATCAAACCTCATTCTGAGTGAGTCACTCTTTTTTGAGCTCTCGCCATGACCTGTGTGACATCACAGAGAGGGGGCGGGGCCAACTTTGACAGCCTGTGAACCCCCTTACCATTTCCCTTGCCAAAGGCTTTGGACAGGAGGCTGCACAGATGGCCTTGATCGGTCAGCAGCTGCACCCGGACGCACACAGAGACAAGAAGGGTAACTGTAGAGGCGGGGGGGGGTTGTTTATCCACCAGCCTCCCCGGTGTTCATGCACTCTGACCAAAATCACCTGCTTGGTTTGTGTAGTCACACTGGTGACGAGACAATGTTGACACATGCAGCCGCCCGCTAAGGTAAGCTGTGTTAGGTGGCTGGGACGTACAGATACTGGAAACTGTTTGAATGAGCAGACGGCAGCCTCCTCAGTTTAGAAAGAAGATGAAATGTGTTTACTTCTAATCCTACAATAAGAACCAACAGTGTCAGCGCTGACCTTCTGACACCTGATGAGCACAGGCCCTGAAACTCTCTCTGTTCTGGACACGGTTCATGCAAACAATTATGAAAGGTTCAACTCTGGAGAAACACAATAGAATTTAGTGCGATGTGAATGCCAGTTGTTTGTTTGGTGCAGGGGCTACAGACCTGTGTACCTGTGCTGAGGCAGACATGCAGCAGAATCAGACATTGCTGCTGCTGCTGCTGCTGGTGTTACCTGTGTGCGCAGCTGAGCGCAGGTCCTCTGCGACTCGTGCAGCTGTGTCTCCAGCTCTCTCAGCAGCTGCCTCTGGGCGGAGAGCTGCTCCTGCAGGGCACCATTCTTCGTCTGCGTCTCAGCCAGCGCTCTCTGGGAGTCGGCCAACTCCACCTCCACCATCTGAGTCGCATACTGAGGAGCAGCAGAGTGCCGTTGAAAGCTCCACAAAAAGCTACTAAGTGGACAATTTTTCTAGATCCTTTTATCAAAAGTATTCCACAGCTGTGAACGTGAGTCTGTAGGGCAACATCAGATACCATCAAGCATCTCATGAAAATCATTTTAGACTGTTATTAACTCTATCTACATTACCCACATTTACTTATAGGATGTATTAAGGAGTCGCTGCCCTGACATTCATTCCTCCACCCACCTTGTCTCTGGGGGGCTCTGCTGCCTGTATGGCGAGCTCCTCCTCACACTCCTGCAGTCGGAGGGCGAGTTCCTGCTCATCCTCCCCCTGCCTCCGCCCCGACTCCTCCAGCTGCCTCCGGCTGTCATCCAGCTGCAGATGGAGAATCTCCACCCTGGAGCTTTTCTCCAGTAGCTCTTGCTCCAGCTCAGCTAGCCGCCGCTCCCTCTGCCGGGCCTGGCTCTCCCAGCGGGACACCTCCCTCCGCAGGGACTCCACATCCTGTGGGACACAGTCAAGGTTTAAAAACACAGCAGCCTCCCCTGCACACACACCTGGACTAAAGCAAGCCTGATGAAGGAATGAATTTTTCCTAAAGCTTCATCTCATTATTGTGATGAAAGGATGTTTCTGCCTGAAGCAGGTACACAGTGTATACACGTGTGTGCACCTGTGCTGCAGGTAAACACACCTGTCTGTGAGGGCAGTGGCTGGAGCTGCAGGTCTCTGCAGCTGTGTCGAGTTTCTGAAGTTGTGAGCTCCTGCATGACTTCAGCTCCTGCTTCAGATGCTCATTCTCCACCAGCAGCAGCTCCAGCTGCTTCTCCAGGTCTGTCGCCCCCTACAGCACAGGAGGACACACACTCATTCTTCTTAAAGTGCATTAACTCAGATTTCCCCCACTGTCTGATAACCCCAGGGACAGTGGGACAGGACATAGTGTCTCCCAGCTACACCCCCCTCTCCATGACCCCCTGCTGCCTACAGCCCTCCTGTTGTTCTTCCAGCTTCTCCACCCTGTGTTGTCAAAGTTCGGTCTGTAAATGAGTCCCGCCTGCCGCCTAGCCAAGGTTAGAAGAATGGTTTTTCCAGCCACCAGTAGTCATGTCAAACAGCCATGGAGGAGCTCTGGGCAGCTAAAAGTCTGAACCAGCAGCTGCCAGAGTAAAGAGGTGATGTCTTTTGTACAGAGACAGTGGGACAAAGAAAGAGCAACGACCAGGGTTAACATGGGTTTGGCTGTTTGACATGGAGAGGGTTAAAAGCAGCCAGAGGACTCAGACTGGATTCAGATGTGGCGTTCTTCATTCTGGATGTGTTAGCATCTAAAGCTAACCTGTTTGTTTTGGTAGCATTAGCCATCTAGCATGGTCAGGATTTTACCTTTGTAACTGTGCTGTCATCTCTTAGCTGAATTATTTGCATGATAGACGTTTTCTTTCTTGCACTGCTCTGTATGATCTGCTTACACACACCTGAGCACACCTACTGCTACTGTGTGTGATGTAATTTACATTCAGGCGGTGTTATTTCCCTGGGGTTTGTCAGGAATGTGGTAAAGGCAGGGTCTCACCAGTTCCGAGCGAAGTCTCTCCACCTCCTGAGTCTGATCCAACAGCTTCTCCTCCAGCTCCTCCACCTGGAAACACCACATCAGCACCATTTCACACCAAAAATCAACCTGTTCAACATGTCAGCAACATGTCCCTGCAGCTCGAACCATAGTTTATTCACCGTTTTATCATTTACTTTAGTGGATTTATTTTTTCAAACTCCAACTGGCGACATGTTCTTTTCACAGAGTTTGCGGTAACCTCTCAGACGTTTCTTTTCCTAAGCCTCTACTTTCATTGAACATAAACATAATGTAATGCTTCCACTGGTAGAAACACTCAGACCCCACACTGTGTGGCCACACTCTTCCATCCAACAACCCTACATGTTTCTGAATCATTTTTTGGCTCCACCCCCACAGTACAGATGATGGATGGATACTGGTCTGGTGGTTTGTAATGAAGAAACATCTCCCAGTGCAGTGGTGTGTTTCAGTGATGTGCTTTGATTTGATGTTGAACAACAACAGAGGTGTGTGGCGTAGACGAACAAGCTAATCCAGGTTGGAGACTGACAGACATTAACTGTGTTGGTTGTAGTCTCTGTATGGGGACTGCTGAAGACCGTTTTTTTTTTTTTAAACACAGGTATCTGTACTTCTACCAGAGTAATGAATGTGTGTACTTTTTCCACCTCAGTGAAGATGCAACAAGAGGTTCCTTGCTTCCTCTGCCAGCACTCTTACATATTGCCTGTCTGAGAAGAGCCGTAGGACGTCAGAGCCTAGTGTCAGACGGGTTTTACATTTGATGCTGATGAGCTGCTCGTGATGGAGACACTGTGACTACTTGTGAACGGATACAGGCCAAAAGCACAGGGCTCAGGTTATGAACAACAGCTAACTGACATTTGCTGGATCCATGTTGTCCATGTCAACATGCTACATGCAGCAGATTACAAAGAAAACATACCAGGTTAAAATGCTAACAACCTTCTGAAGGGCCACAGAAAGCTCGCCACAGATCCTGACCACACAGGGCGCCTGCTTCAGGTGAGGGATGTTTCCTGTAGACGTACCTGTATGCGCAGCCGAGTGACGAGCTGCTCTTCTTCTGGACCGCTGGGACGACCTGTCGGCTGCTCACCGCGCCGCGACACCCTCACACCTGCACAGAGATGAAGGTCCACAGACACGGTGCTGAGCAGAGCTGGGAACAGGTAGTATCAACAATGACCACCAACTAGACCCGTCCCTGACATAAACAGCAACAACACAGCGTCAATAGAAGTCATACAACACAACTCTGTTTTGTATGTGTAGTATTGATTAAATGACTATTGATTTATTAACTTTGTATTATTTGTGTTTTCATGCCGTTATCTGCCCTTTAGCCTTGTTTGGCAAATCACTAAAGAACTCTGTTCCCACTGTTTTTGAAGGTTGGCCATCTCCCTAAAGTGACCTGACCATGTGAACCATCAACACAGTGTGAAAGAACGCAGTGATCACACAAAACAGATGTTGTGTTAACTGCTGGAGTCCAACCTGCAGCCGCAGTGTGAAGAACAAACATTCCTCATTGTCAGACAGATGTATGTGATGATTGTGTTTGGAGGCCACAACGCGTGGTCGCACTCTGTGTTCAGACTCAAGCTGTTGCAGAAGTTTTGATCCCACCCTCTGCTCTGCGCTCACCGTTGGGCGATGCTGACAGCCGCTCCTCCTGCAGCCTCTCAGCGCCTCCAAACGACGTCTCCTGGATACTCTGCTGATGGAGCTGCTGGAGCAGCAGGTGTCGAGCGACTTCTTCAGACTGAAGACGAGTCTGAATCTCACACACTTGGTCCTGTAAAGTCTGAACACACACACGCACACACACACACACACACACACACACACACAGAAACCTGGATGAATGATCAGCTTTTCATGTGGAATGCAAAAAAGCCAGAGCTGTTTCTAAAGACGAGAAGCTTCAGAAATCCTGATTCCTCAGCTATGTTTTCTTCAAACACGTCTACAAATCTACAGCTCCGTCCACATCCTAGTGGAGGTTTCCCAGACCTGATGTGTCCACAGCAGTGTGAACAGACCAGACCAGATGTCCTCAGACCAGATCTGAGCCACCTGCGTATGTGCTCCTAGACCCGATTCCTCTCCGACCTCTGACTGTGTGAGCGCCGTCAGAACGGTCAGATCAGAATCCATTTGGTCGTTTTAAAGTCTCCTCCTCTGCACTGCCCGTCGTCATCATTTGCCACCGACCCCTCACAGAGCAGTAACAGTAAACATGGAGGAGAGCGACAACGGCAACGGGGTCAGTGGAGAGACCAGGACGTTTATGGAGAAGCCTCTGATCAGGCCAAACTGGAAGGAGCATATCGTAACCCAGTGGTTTGGGACGAAACTGGGCTTTTTGACTGTCACACACACGACAGGGTTGTTATTCTTGTGCGCACGCGGCTCACATTTCAGTTGCATCTGTGCATGTGTGCAGTTTGGGAGCTCAAGCTGTGTTCACGCCGGAGCCGGGTACATGGTGCTGACACATGTGGACGGGAAGCAGCAACACAAAGAGCTGAGCGTGAAGAGCCGAGTGTAAAGGCATGAGAAGTGGATGCAGTGTTTGACCTCTGTGAAACCAACAGAGCAGGATGGAAAGACTAGAAAACCAAACCTGTCCAGAAAGGAAGAGGAAGAAATGACACAGCACTGAGTAACAGCAGCGCAAACTAAGAGATTGAATGTTTTTATGTTGGCAGGAGTCCACCAGCAGGACCAGGTGACCTTGTACAGATGGAGAACAGAGTGGAGAAAGCAAGTGAAGGAGGAGATGAGAGCAGCGACAGTCTGTTGGACTAAATGCTGACAAAAAGACAGAGGAGTCTGACTAGGATTCAGACCAAATCGAATGTTAAATCCCTGAAGCTGCCTTCATGTTAATGGTGATGATGTTCAATGTGTGTTGTGTCACAGAGGCACTGGTTCACCTGTGTGGTCACTGTGGAGGCTGCAGGTTGTGCCACTGTTCACCTGGACTGTGTTACACAGAGAGCTGTCATCACAGCTCTAAAAGCCTTCACCTCAGCACAATGTGCACTGTGCAGTCTATCAGTGTCAGGCTGCCTGCTCCTTAGTAAAATGACCAAACGTGTCATGACTAGAAGCTAGATTCTCTGTTACCTGGATGAGCAGCTGCTGGCTGGGTGCGTTTGTTTCGCTCAGCTCTGTGGTCAGAGAGGGGCGCTGAGAGAAGGCAGTGGTGGGCAGAGACAGGAAGGAGCCGTCCTCTTCATCACTCATCAAGAAGTCCAATGAGCTCGCTAGAGACACACAGAAGGGACAAACTCAGTGAAGCTCCATCTCTTTCATTCTTCTGACAGCAACATGAAAAGTGACTTTTCCCTGCAGTCAGTGGAGGCATCGCCACTGCTGTCCACACAATCCTCACTAACCATCACTATAGGCTCAGGTCCAAACCTCTGGATCATACATGGATCAATGAGCAGCCTACTGGGCACAGGCCCAGGGGCCCAAGGGGTCGAGGGGCCCCTAGACCAGAGAACCATAAAGGAACTGTTGGCCTTTCTGTTAGAAAGTCAGATGACTACAGAAAGCCACAAAACGATATAAAAGAAGATGTAAAGGACATACAACGACTAAACGGAGTCAGCAAAACAACTACACAAACATCCCAAACAGCAAAAGAGACAAAACAATTAAAATATTATTG